GTGTGTGTGTGTGTGTGTGGAGGACACAAATGGAGGACACAGTGGGGCTAGTGCAGGTAGAGACAACAGGTAACTTCACAGAGGAAACAGGAATAGGAGACCATAGCAGGGACAGCACAAAAGGAAACAGAGAGATATCAGCTACTAGTCTAAGGAGCAGGTATAAATAGCTAAGCAGATGAGGGGAATGAGAAACAAGAATAGGGAGGCAGGGAAGTCTTAGTAATTAAGGGTTAAACGTTGAGAGGGTGGAAGGTCCAGGCACACCTAGTGGGAGGGTGAAGTATGACAGTTTGTACAAATAAACATCGTTGAGACAGACGTCATGAAGGTGCTCATTTATTCTTTCCGGGAAGGCAGTCATTTGTACAGTTTATTTTTGTTTTGTGTGTATGTTACTGTGAATAAAAGTTTCTACTTTTGTATGTCAGTAAGTGTTTTTTGTGTGTCATCATGATCATATAAAGCCATTATTCATGGTTGTGTTTTTTATTCAGGTTAAACCTGTCAAAGGCTTCTCTCTGCTCGATCCTCCCACCCCCTACGTCCCCCAAAGCCCCCCTCTCCTTCTCCTCTTCAGCCTCCTCAAAAAAGATTGTGCGGAGCTCCTCCTCCTCTGTCGCTCATTTCAAGAGGTCAGTGTCTTTTTTTCACCAACTCAGTCATCTGGATCAAAAGTGCAGTGTGACACCCTGTCTCTGTGTCTCTCTCCCCAGCCCCTTCAGCCTCCGTCTGTTCAGCACCAGGCCGGCTAAAATTCACTGACATGACTCATGTCAGAAACCACACCAGGTCTCCACCAACATGCTGTGGCTGTCTAGGCCGTAAAAAGTGTATCAGTCGTGAGATACCTCTCTTTTTTTCTCTCACAGTAATAGTGTAGTGTTTAATACAGGGATTCACAGAAGAAAGTCAACTTCAAGATGGTGAATGTGCGACATCATGGTTGTGGGTCCTTGTTCATTTTAACCATGTGATTTAAGGACTGGCACCATATCCTCTTATCGATAACAAACAATGAGCCTGGGGATGATGTCTGTTATGAAATTACATGAAATTATTGCAGGCTTTAAAATGTGAACATAAAAACATGATAAAAACTAAACTGTCAGATAGGAGAAAACAGACAAAAGTGAGTGAACTTGCACTTGGAATAGAATTTCAGTTGCTTCATACTTGCATGCTTCATTTTCACTAGTTCATCCATCTACTACTCAGTTAGCTTGGCAAAATCCAATCATAGGTGTACAGTGTGGCCCCTAAAGCACGACACTTCTTCCTAATACTGTTGAAATGTTCATTCATAATCATTTATCTTAATACAACATAAAACAATACTAAAAAACATTGTCCAGACAAAAAACACATAAAATCCAATTGAAGTTAGTCAACAGAACTCTCTCTTCAGAAATTCTGTTAAAATCATCAAATCTGCACAGGCTTACTCAACTATCCATCATAGTTGATCCTCTCCAGCTGCTTAGTGTCTATAAATGTATGTTAGTCACACATTGTTTGAATAAAAGTCTATCTTTCTCTTTCCACAGCTGGGTGGTTTGGAGTCTACTTTAACCATTGAAATTCTATTTCAAATTCTATTCAAGTTTCAGTCTGAAATAGTCTGGGTTTGAAGAACCTTAAAAAGCAGTATTTGTATTTGTCGACATTTGTGGTATAGCTATTATGAAGGGTATTTGCATGTGAAGATGTGTTCTTCTCACACTCTAGAGAAACTGCACACTACCACTGTGTCAGGTATCCTGTAGTGATGGAGCAACAGAGAATGATGTTATGATGTACTGAGTCTGATTCTGAAGAAAGGTGTTAGTGAGATAGGTGGGTATATTCTCATTAGGTCACCTGCAAGAAAGGAAGATATTTACCCATGTTAGACATCCAGCAAGAATTTATTGATATAATACATAAGTTATACTCTGATGTCAGGGAGTGGCTCTCACACACAGCTCCGGCTGTTTTAACAGACTGAGTTTCAACTTTTTTCAAAACTAAGGTTTTTACAGTGGTGGTTGAGCTCATGGTGAGCAGTAAGTGAAGGTATGGGTGTGTACTGTATGTTATGCAGTTTGTGTTTCATCTGTATCCTCCTTTAATGTAACACCCCATGGAAACAATGGAACAATAACATCAACAGTGGAGTGGAACAAGGTCATGTAACTCTTAACTGCAACTGCACTTATTATAAGAAGATTACAGTTTTTTTCGGTCGCTAACAAGCGTTTGTCCAACCAGTGGTCACATTTTCAAAACTCTAAACACAATTAGTACAGCATCGGCCTTTTGTGGCCATACAATTCACACATTTCATGTCTTTTTCACACAATATGGAGTCAGTGAACACATTTCCACAATGCTTTCCACAACAGACAAACTATACCGCCCAACAAAATTATGGATTGTTTTCGTATTATTTACGAATGTTAACACACAACATTCCACAATGGCAAAAACAATTTTCCAAACAGTCTAAAAATCTCGTCTGCAATGATATCAGTTCTAAAACAATATATCTCAGCTGATAATAAACAAACAATTGAATAATTGAATTTACACTAACCCTGAAGATTGCACAGATTAGATACAAGAATTTTGTGCTTTTTTTAGTTCACCCCCTTTTTATCTGGGCTTCTTGCTGTTGTTTTTTTGTTCAGAATGCTCTTGTGTGTTTCATGGATATTTTGTTCACTGTAAGCAATACTGTAAAACTTTTTTCTGTTCTATCATACTGTAAACAGTATTTCTCCAGTTTTTTCTGACTTTTTCTGGAATGCTTTTGAATGTGAACATTACATGTGTACATACAGTTCCCAACCAAGACATTTTGTGTAAACACAGTGGATTGGATGTTTTGCATGCAAATACCTGTAAAACTGAAACATAAAAGTCTATGCAGTTTTTGTAATGTCAGCAATAGCCAGTATTTTGAAACCTGGTTTACTTTGATTGACTGCATGCTTGTGAAGTGAAAACAAGAGTTATTCTTTGACAGAATAATTTCATTTTGAGTCAGATTTCCAATGTTTTGGTAAAGTTAGTGTGTGCAGAGAAAGATGTGTTCTATTTTGAAATAAAGAGTTAGTATATATTTAACAAAATGTGTTTTTGAGAAGAAAATTATCCATTTGGCCAATTGTGGTTTGTAGGTGTGAGTCTGTGCTTAGAAAAAGTATCTGAAGTATGGGTAAGCGCTTTTAAGTGCTTGAAAAAAACTGTAATACACTAAGGGCCTGATCTACTAAGATCCCAAATATAGAGTGCTAAATTGCATGTACAGTATAACAGATTGCACATTTGGTTGGTAGGTGTTTTGCAGGTGATCTATTAAAAATAATTGCGCAAATGATAACAGGTGCAAACATGGTAGAGGCAGTAGTATTTAAATGAGTGTTTCGCGTGCATTACTGGTTTCCGCTATGGAGCATTACAGAGAGCACATTGAGCGCAAGCGCAAAGTGACATTCAATGCCGTTTAATTGGAGGTGTCAAACATGATGTTGAGCTACAGCAAAGAAATATTAATATAACTCAAAGAAACGCGATATGGGAGAGTATCTGCGAAAAAGTAACTGCTGAAGGTAAAACAAAAAGAAGAACCAATGAAATTAAGAGAAGGGTGAACAAAGGGGAGAACAAAATAAACTAGGGCTGCAAGCAGCACTGAACAGGCCCGAGTACTTGCAACTCAGAACCTGACACAACTCGGAATGTGACGCAGCTCCCCCCACGCACAATACCCTTTACATACCTACGAGGTTGTCAGCGTAGACGCGTGTGGCAAGTTTCATGACCTTGCAATGATGATAAGCCTTTCAAACCACAAACGCCATCACACGACCTTTGCCGCCTAGTCACACCCACAACCTTCAGAGTTTTGAAAAGATAATTCTAACTTTTTATCCCCCATGGCTGAAGAGTCACCTGACCAAGTTTGAAGACATTTCCATTAAATCTCTAGGAGGAGTTAGATCATGTGTGAGGTGTGGAAACAGGCAAAAATGGCGTCAAAATGCGTCTTCCAATCACAATGGCCAACTTTCTGTGGACCTGGCGCCATGACGTCAAGAGGCTATTTTGTGCGTCCACCTATGCAAAACTAACCCCAATGGCAAGGGAGTTTTGAAGATTTGTAGGGGGCACTACAGAGCCATTTTGCTCCGCCCACACACGATAGCCTTTACATACGTATGAGGTCATCAGCGTGGATGTGTGTGCCAAGTTTCAGGATCTTGTGATGATGATAAGTCTTTCAAACCACAAACGCCATTACACAAAATTTGCCACCTGGCCACGCCCACACCCTTCAGCCCTTGGAAAAGATTTTACTAACTTTTAATCCCCCATGGCTGAAGAGTAACCTGACCTAGTTTGAAGACATTACCATGAAATCTGTAGGAGGAGATCGATCACATGAAATGTGAATACAGGCAAATAACCAGTAGGTGGCGCTATGATATATGTCGCTATGTGCATATGTACGCGTTCAGGCCGAGTCCAGCGTCCACCCTATGACGTTTGGTCATGATCTAACAATGTATGCAGAAGTTATAAGTGATTTAACCACAAACGCCATTACACAAACTTCGCTGCTTAGCCACGCCCACACCCTTCAGCCCTTGGAAAAGATAATTTAAACTTTGTATCCCCCATGGCTGAAGGGGGGATACAAGGTCCCTCCGCTGTTTCACAGCGATTGGGCCCTAATAATAATAATAACTCCTTCCATTACAATAGGTCCCTTCGCTGTTTCACAGCACTCGGGCCCTAAAACCCGAGTACCTTTAGTAGATCATGCCCTAAATGTTTCTCAAAAAAAAAAAAGAAAGTCCATACAAATACAAATGAAGTAAAA